GGGAAAGAGGGTAGGAGAAATATGAACAAGGGAAACGGAATAAAAAACACATCTTGTGAATGACCTGACAAGACCAAATCAAAACAGCTATAAAGCTGAGTAAACTCTAAAGCCCAGTGGCACACACAAATATGAGAAGAATTTCAGTGTTCCTGAAAGACAGGGACCTGTGTGGGTCACTGAAAGTACTTGGAAGCCATATGTTAAAATTATTTTCTGTTTCCCTATGCTTTTATATAAAAAATAATTTGTCCCACTGAGAGAAATCTGATGGCTCTGACCCTTTTATGACTGAAGTAACTTTCTCATTGACCCTGGGACTGTGTCCAATAAGCAATCACCTATTAAATAACTGATAATATTGCATTTTTATTTCAGCTTTTCCTATCTAAAAACAGTTTGGTTTATTGTGTTTTTCAGGTTTGGTATCTACACTGGATCTTTGATTGCGGTCTCCTCTAAATTGCAACACTGAAAACAATGGCAACAGAATGTATAAAAAACTGCTGTAAATGGTGTTTCTGCATGGAAAAAGAAAAAAATTATCGTGAGTTCTGACATAATGACATTGACTAAGGGTTTTGCTGTTCTGGCTTCATTAATGATGAGATTTCCCATTAATAAAATGACTGTGTCACCCCTGATAAACTTGAATTCTTTTACAACATCCAAAATTCTTTCCATACCTCCAGTTGGAGATTGAACACATGCTTGTTAGTGTTATGAATTGAAATTGGAACTGAAAAATAACACTTGTCTGAAGTCTGCGCCTCGCAGCCTGGAATGCTGTCCAAAAAAGCCAACTTTTGTACCCAAGGTTGTGTAAAGGTCTCAAACTCGTAAGAGTGAACACGTTTTTTTTTTTTTTAACTCACTCTGGATTTTCTGTTAGGATTTTCTCTGGTGTCTTACTTGTTTGAAGAACTCTGCTGTGATACAAATGTACCTGTTGTTAAAATTCACTTAAGAGCAAGGTAGCTATAAATACAAAGGCTTGGGCAACAAAGAGTTTGTATCAGTACAGGCGTCATGAGAATGAATATCTTTTCCAGGTGCTAGTCCTGAATGCTGGTAAAACGGCTGCTAGCATTCAGTTAAGTAATGTATCAAGCACAGATCCTATTAAATAAAGGAGATCTGTTCATAGTATTGTTCAAAACTTAATGCACATGTGGACGGTTTGTTTTTCTTGCTTTTATTTTTAGCAGTTTCCATGGTGCAGGAATCTGAAGCAGTAGCCGCAAGCAAGCCAACTATTGTAGAGAAGCCTCCATTGTCTTCTGTGTCAGTGAAGCGTCAAGTTGGGTGTTCAGAGGACTATCTGCTTTCTAAACTACCCCTGGATGGTCAGGAGGTACCATTTGTGGTCCCTCCATTCAAATTGGCTTATGTACAGCCGAAGAACCTTCCTAGTATCTCACATGCTGGAGGGATTCAAGGTAAAACATAAACAGCATTGCTGAAACAGTTGTTTAGCTTCTGTTACTCCTTGAAATTTGTCAAGTATTCCTACTGAAACCATGTATTTGCAGAACATTTCTAGAAGCCTGGTCTTGTCTCTTTTCTCTCTGGACATCCCACTGTGAATCTCTGTGATGTTGCATGAATAAAACTGAAAGGGAGGATTGCACACCATTGCTCATGCTCAAAGTAATGGAAGACACTTAAACAGAGCTTTAATAAAGAATTTATTGGAGGCAAGGAAAGACCTACGCATCCCCAAGCATCCATATCACACAAATAAAGAAGGAGGGTGGTCTGGCTTTCATTTTTAATGTACTGATATGTTTTAATGTACTAACACATCTTTCTTTTCAAATTTTGCCAATAGATAGCACATGCTACTGTGTGGAAGAATTATTTTCCCATACTATATCCTGCTCTTTTTGCTGCTCTTTGGGAGGCCAGGGGTCACAGATCTCAGTGGTATAAGATTGCACATGATAGTATGATTCTTTGCTTCACAACAATCTTGTGCTTCAACCTCTGCCAGTTAGTCCCATGCTCAGACTGCCAAAATGATTTATGTACAATTTAGACACAGTGGTATTTTAAAAGAATAGGAGCCTGGCCCAGTAACATGAGTTACAGGACATATGCTATCACTAGGCTCTTGGTCCTGCCAGGAGATGCCTAGAATTAAGTAAGGGAAGATTTTGGCAGAGGGGTATACCTGAACAGTTGTTTTCTCTAGAGTTGCTTTGCCTCAAGGATGTGATAAGCTGATAATATGCTTTTAGTCTCATGTGACTGTATTTCTTTTCTGAGGGTGGAAATCTTAATAACTGAAAAAGTCAACTACATGTTGCATAATAACTAGTGCAGTACTACCTAACCTTTTTGTGTTTCTGTGGTTTTACTCCCACCCTTCTCCACATATCCCTGGTGTTGCTTCTTTTCTCCTCCTGCATGCCGATGATCAAACTTCCTCCTCACTCTCACCTACCCCTGCTGGTAATGCTGGCACCAGAGCCAAGCTAATCAGCCTAGCAGGGTTTTTTGCTGTAGATTGGCCATTCTGTGCCTGTTTTTTTTATTGGGCTTTATTTGTGATGTCTGCCTCACCAGACATGGACAGGCAGCCTAATAGTTGGAGGTAGAACATGGGAGGCCCTTCTCATCCCTGAGCCTGATCTCCTTCAGCCTCCCTGCTTCCCTGCTACTTCAGCAGCTAGTTCTTGTAAGTCCATACTTGGACAAGGTGCAGAAATGCTGGACATGCTCCTGGTAATCCCCTTTCTCACTGGGCCTGGGTGCAGGCTCTGCCTTCCTTTGTCCTACCTCATCCTCAAGATACTCTACAGAGAAGTCCATCAACGACTGTGAGGCACAAATGTTCTCCAGGGAGAAGGGAGATGTGTCTAACAACGTTTAGATAAATGTTCTCTTTGTTCATGCTGTTCCCCACAACCTTATCAGTCAGTGACTTATAAACAAGTGACTTGTCTTCATTGGGAATTCTGCTTCATCATCATTTCTGAGGGACCTGGTGAACAGAGTGGCATTTAGGCTATAAAGCTGGTAAATCTTCTGGCAGGATGAGCTGACTCTCCATGATTGTCTCTCGAGCAAGTATTTTAAATTCTTGAACAAATATTTGAAAAGTGGCCCTTATGTCAAGTAGGTGACTTCAATTTCTGCCTCCAAATAGTAATACTTATTTTTAAATAAGTACAGCTTTTTAAGCCTCATTAAAGTTTTGCTTAGAAATGCAAAGTTTACCTTTTAGGGAGTTTTACTAAATACAGTGAAGTGTGCTGTCTGTCCTTCTTCACATTAGCCAAAGCACCGGCATATTCCAAAACTCTGTTTAGAGTATTTGCTTCTTAGACCATTGTTAAATATCCGTAGAAGTCCAAGTTCTGCTCTTAGTTCCACTCCATTTTCTGTGCGTGTCTGACCATTTTCCTTTAGTGAAACAGACATGCTCAGTGTTAGCTCTTGGCACCCCTTCTGAAAGCGATTAAGTTCTGGCAGCGTTTCTCTTCAGTGCTCACTGCAGCGTGTCTCATGCTCTCACAGAAGTAAGCTAGCAGGAAGGAGTGTGCTCCTGATCTGGAACACTGGCTTTTCCGTCATCTGCTGTGTATCAATTCTTTATGGCCTCACTTCTAGCGTTCATCCTAATTTACGTCATGCTCAAGCCCATTATACTTGAATTCTTGCTTTATCATCTCTCATGTTCCATCTCACTGTTTTAGTTACTCTTTATACTTTGCTAACACCTGGAGCAATAATAGTTTTCCTCTTATGGTCCAACACACTTTCAGTATTGAAGGCACTTTATAATGGGGTAAAGAACCCAAATAGATTGGTTGAAGTCCAGGGAGGTGAAGTGAAGGAAGCAAATGTCAGATCTTGGTAGAGTCCAGGTCACCCCATCCCCATTCTCTACTGTTACATATGGCTTATTTTTGCTCCAGACAGGCAAAATGAAGCACTACAGCAGTGTTCTTTACTGTTCTGCTAACCAAGATGTGCATGTTTTTTCTGAAATGATTATAAATAAAGGAAAGAAAAATGGGGCAGCAGTGCTGTAATGGGCTGAGTAAAGGGCTGGGATTCAAGCATTCTCCGATCTGTCTACTTGTGCCTCAGCCAACAATTAAAGTCATTTTAGACCCGTGGTTTTACCACTGACAGACTTCCTATGGAAACTGGATGACAAGGAGACTGCAGTCACAAGTTGCATTATCTTTCCATGCAAGACCCTCCTGAAGGTCTTGGGGTCCATTAGCTGAGTGGGAATGTCCTGGGGGTAGGCAGCTAAATAAGTCGAAGGTTTTCTGTACACATGGCTTTACTTTTCCTGTTAGTTTCTGTCTTGCTGTCTGTCTTTGGAGCCTTCTGTATTTTAACTAGTTAGGCATTTGTTGTGGAACTCCAAGACAGAGTATGCATAGCTTTTTATGGCCAATTTAATTCTAATGTTTGCTAGCATACTGTGGAAATCTGACACAATGTGTATGTGTGTTTTCTTTACTTTTTCTTTTTTTTTACCTTTTCCTGAAGTAGATAATACTGAAATATTTTGTTCTTTGCCCTGAAGGCACTCTGCCTGCCTTATGAAGCCAGGCAGCATGTGTTATGTCTGGAACTCTTGCATTTGATGTTTACTTGTGCTCCGCAGAATCTGCCAGAGCCTCATTTGGTGACCGGAAAGCAGAACTGCACAGCGTGTACCAATGGCCCCGCTATGACGTGTACAACCCATTCTATTTGGAGCATCGCATTTCGCCAGATCTGATTAGGCGCTTCCAAGCAAGATCAGATAATAGGAAATTATATGGATCAGGTGAGAAGGACCGCACCCTTACTCTTCTGTCTTCCTCTCTTTCCCAAGGTTTATAGGTAAGAGAAAAAAAGCCATTAGTCTACAAAAGACATGTCTGAGTAATCAAAGGAGTTGAATAATCATCGCAGTTCTCAAACTGGTCTGTATGCTACAGACACATCTTGGTTGGTGAATCTATCTGTAGAGCCAGCTCTGCTTGATTTCCAGCTGTGCTGTTCCATTCTGTGTTTTGGGGGCTTAACAAGGCTTGCATACATCACACGAAGGTAGACAAATTGGCAAAGCAGGCTACTGTAGCTGCCTCCTATCCAGAGTAGGATGCAGTACTGGAATAGGAGTGTTTGAGGGTGACAGAAAAAGGAAGTCTGGCAATATGCTGAGTGGAGGAATGCCTGAGGAGTATATATATGGAGAGAGGAACAAGCAACAAAAGACATTCAGGAGCAGATGATAAGAACAAGTGCAAAATGGGAAGTGATGCTATATGCCAGCTTTTTTGTAGTTTGCTTTTGAAAGTAAAAAAAAAAAAAAAAAAAAATTTCTTCTGTGCTGTTCACTGGTATATGTATTCTACAATGAATGCTGTTTAGAGTAAAGTAGATGACTAAGTGTTGCTTGCTGTCAGTGATCGCTAAGGCAAACGCATACACGCTTGAAGAAATGTATACACCTCTCTATTGAATCGGAAGCTGGCAACAGCATGCATTTTTAAAGATGTTTTATTTAGAATGGTATAGCATGCTTATTTTACATCTGGGGGAATGTCTCAGTCTGTGTCCTGTTTTAAAAATAATTCTGAATCACCATAGAGACAATGTGAAAAGACTACTCCATTCTTTTTTTTTTGAGAACAAAATACACATAGCATTTTATCAGCCTTTAACACATATGGCTTCGTTAGGCTTTGTAAGCACCTGTGGAGGGAGCCAAATGAGTTTTATAAAACTGTATTGAACATATTCTCTTCAGTTCATCATCCCTTTTTCCATTTTTCTTCAAGCTAAGTAAACATTTCACTAGTTTTGTCTTAGTAAGCTTAAACACCACAAGAAAGGTCACTTGTGTGTCTAGAGTACAGTTCTAAAATGCCTTCTTCCTCTAGAGTTTTTTGACAGCTGTTTCGAAAGCTAGATGATTCACTTCCATGTACATCTATAGACTATTTAAGCAAAACTCTAAGCTTACTTTGTTGCAGCAAGTGCTATGATACTTCTCATGTGTGTGGGCTTAGAACTACAAAATGGGATTACTTGGAAGTGAAGTTCTTGAGTTTTCATGGGAAGTCCCTTCTCTTCATTGAAAAAAACCAAACAACCCACCCAACAATAAAAAACCTGAAAAATAAATTGATTAATATTTTACAAAATTCTAGTTATTATTGGTAAACAACATGTGTTTATGATTAATTTTTTTCTGCTTTTTTATATTTTACAGGCAGCTTTCTCAGTGTAGAAATTGTCTTTTTTTTTTTTTCCATTAAAAATTTAAGTTTTTGAAAAAGGCACCATGGCACCATCTCTTCCCCCCTGCACATACCCATGTCCTTTGAAAACTTTAACCAGCTTTACTAGAAACAGCAGATCTTACCATCGTTAAAGTGTTTTGGTGATTTGTAACCTGTAGGCTCAAGTGGATGTTTCCCAGTAGTTTGTGAAAGTCATGGGTTCTGAATATGGAATTAATTTCCATAACCATAATCAGTTTCAAATCAAGTAATGGGCTGGTCTCTCCTGTTTGCTCCCATTATGTCAAACAAGGTTTCTAAACCTCATATGGTATTAAAATGCTATTTCTACACCAGACTCAGTGAACAGCTCAGCCCTTTTGTGTCATGCACAAGAGAGAATTTGGAACTCCTGCCAGACATACTGACCTTCATTAAATTTTATCTAAATCATGTTGTTACTTTCCTTTCCCTCCCGTGGGTTGTCAAAACTTTCTTCATCTTTTGTTCTCTTTTTCTTCCTTGGGAAAAGAAAGAATTATTCTTGATTGTCACATGTCACAATAAGCATAATCAGCTATATCTGTTGATAGCAGTAAAAGGGAAATAAATTTTCGGTAACAAGTGATGTAATTCTATTAAGCTATGATCAGTGAATTGTAATGGAAGTCTTCTGAAATACCGTAACACAGCACTGCAACAAAAAGCAATTAATTGCATCAGATAGTCCTAGAAGTTAAACCATACGGCTTTCATTCATTTCAGTATGGGTCAGTTTGGAAGTTGGGAGGCTTTAAAAACTTCTTGAACTTTACTGGAGTCAGCAAAGAGTCCTGAAACAGTGGCGTTAGTTCAGCTGTCATTTTCTGCTGTTGCTGCATAATATGCATAGACAGTGTGCTTTAGCTCTGTATTGCTTCGAGGTCAAAAGAAAACTGATAGGATCTACTGCTGAGGAAACTACATTTCTATAGAATAAAGATTTTGCTTTTGTGTGTCATCGTAGAATTAAGAGTTGCTTGCTTTGAGATCTAGTAAGGGTGCAGAGTATGGTGCTTTGACACTGTGATCAGTAAAGCCAGGGAGATGAGGCCAAGTTTAGCAGGCAGCATGTTTTTGCCACTGGGATCTTTACTGTGGAAAAATTTAAAAAGGGAGACCAGGCTAAGCCCCAGTTCTGGCTGACTAGATTTAAAGACAAGGCTCTTCTGTTTTGCTAAAGCATCTACTAAAAAAAATAAATTTCTCTTGCCGAAATAATGTTGAGGCAGACTCCCCATTCTACCAGGGCTACCAGTGTGACCAAGTAAGTCTGAACTGTTTCAAAGATGGAATTGATTAAGAGATTTTACTGGCTTGTTCTCTCCATTTTTCATTGCAGGAGAGTGTTTGGGGAAGGGGAAGCAGGGAAAGGTGCTGATGCCCTTCCTTAGATGTTATTTGGCTAGGTTTCAATTCTATCATAGGTCTACTTAAACTTTTAAAAATATCCTTATGATTGTTTTTTCTAGCAATGATGCTTACATGATTTGTATTTTCTCTTTGTCTTTTTAGTTAGTGATTTAAGACCTAGTGCTTTGCCTGGATCATTTGATGTAAGTCGTTCAATGTTTGATCTCAGAAGCCCGCCTCATCGATTCATGAAGGTGAGTTCCCCTTCTAACTTTGGTCACATGGAAAACTCAGCTTACTTGGTGTATCTGATCCTGTTGCACTGTGTTTTCAAAGTAAACACTGAAGGGCATTGTACTATGAACTGGAAGGGCTAGAGGCAAAAGTTCAGTGTCTTGCCAAACTTCAAGAGGCTGTTTCCTGATGTCTCCTGTGACTACTGCTGTTCTGGCTCTGCTGGGCTGTTGAGAAACCTGAGTAGACTGTTAGGCAGGACAAGACAGACAAGAGGTTGTTGTTTGTCATTTTGTGATTTCTCCCATCAGTTGAAAAGTGGAACACTAGACGTTTCCGTTGATGCAAAAAACACTGCTGCTTTTTTTTTTCCCCCCTCCCACATAATCATCTTTTATGTAGAGATGAAGTTGCATATATATCAGTGAGCAAAAAAACTTGTGCTGACCATATGTGTCCTGTATTAGCTCTTTGCGTCAAAGTAGTAATTTCATGCTGCTGGATCAAGAGATTAGTAGGGAATTAGACAATTATTTGAAGTTGCATGTTGGTTTTTTTTCATCATGTCTTGTCTGATGGTGAAATCTCTCTGGATTTTTGCATCTGTTGCTCTGAATTAAGTGACTTTTTTTTTTGCCCCCAGAGATATGATTCATTCTCCAGTGTACCTAGCAGTACCTCTTCCAGAAAGGATTCACAAGGCAGCAACAGGAGTCTGGGTAATGTTTTCTTTGTTTACCTTCTAATGAAATATTTCCCATTGCACTTGAAACATTAAGCTGTCTCTACTGTTGATGATTTTTTTTTCTTTTTTTTTTTTTTTTTGTTTGAGATGAATCTGATTAGCAAGTCAGCTTGGAGATTACTTTGCAATTTGAAATTAAGAGTTTTGGACTTGCACCTTACTATTGTCAGGAGATTGAGCAAATGAGCCTTTGAGGAGTCCTCATGCTTTTGAAAAATTCATCCCTGGATTTACTACCACAGTGAACCAAGAAATTACAGATGTTCTGTTAGGATAGAATACAGCACCATGGCCACAGCTCTAGTCCTTTTTCATGTACCAGTATTTTTCTGTGGGAAGTGCCTGGAATCCAATACCCATATTACATTACTAATTACATTACTAATGCAAGAGTATTGCATGCAAACCTAGCATCCTTATTTATGAAAGAATGCTGAAGAAGTGGAGATGCTGCAAGATAAACCCTTAAAAATTAGTCAAGCCTCCATGAAAGTCACCCTGCTGGAAGACAGAATTTCACCCAGTCTCCTCAAAAAGAAGACTGGGGGGCAATGACCTATCAGTCATGACAGAGAAACACTAGATATTAAATGGCTTTTCTGACTTGGAGAGAAGTGTAATAGTAAAATGTTTACAAGGCTGGAACTGAAATCTGAGAAAGATAAAAAGCAGGCCGATTTATAAGCTTAATGGTGAAAGTGATTAATCTAAAGGAAGTAATGGTTTATAAATGTGTTCCGGGTGTCTCGGGCACATGCTTTTTTCTTTCTAAAAGTTGTGTGAGTACAGTACAAGTTATTAAATTCAGTAGAGATAAGAGGTAAACGTGAAGGCTTTTAGCTAGGCAGAAGGTCAGGCTACAGGACTTCACAGATATTTTGTCCTTAAAATGTAGATGTTAAGATATTTCAGATTTATTTTGAGAGACATTTTCAAAGATAGGCAGTCCACCTACTAATGAGTTCCCTTATTCTTGGGGTGAGCTTTTAAGGTACGGCATTACTTCTAAAAACTCTAATTGGCTTTCTTCCATAGATACTGTTACATTATCAGGTGATGAACGAGACTTTGGAAGACTGAATGTGAAGTTGTGTTATGTTTCTTCTGTAGAACAGATTTGGATCACAGTTTTACATGTAAGCAAATATAAATAACTTTATTATTATTTACTCAAATGGCTATTTTACTATACTTAGTGTTAATTCACATTAAATTTGGCCCTCCATTACTTTACGGGATAGTTTTAGGAGAAAAAGAAAATTACTTTGAAGTATTAATATAAACAAAGTCCAGCCAAATGTAATACTGGGATTCATTCAAAGTATCTTCCTCTCCTTTTTTTTTCTGTTGCAATCTCTGTTGTGCTGTAGTCAATAGTAAAGAGTGGTATATAACTCTTTGTGTTACTATACATATGTTCTGATGGTGGAGTGAGGACCTGTTCAGCATAGGTAAGAAAGCTGAGCTGGTCATTGGCTGGTCTTGCTATGGAAATCTTCCTGTCGAAATTTGGAGGCAGTAAATCAGAGCAACTTTGGAGGCAGCATTTGACTCACTTTAAATCCAACAGTTCCTTCAGGGAAGAACCATAACAGTATTTTGAGGATGTATAGCTTCTTGTGGCTTTTTTGTTAGCTAATGTGATACTGTTATGCTGGCTGTTTTATGCACTTCCAGGAACTGTGAATAATTTTTAGGCAATGGAACTTTGAGTAGTCAGAAACCTCATAACTACATCAAGTGAAAAATACTACATAAGGGATTTCATGATTTATCTGCTGTTGAATTGCCACATAGTGAAATCATTCAAATCTACCGAATAACTTTTTACTCTCTGGTTTTGAAAATTAATTATTAAATTATATGAAGTGACACAGTCATTACACTGGCTCTGATTTATATTCAATATTACAGGAATTATGCATAATTCAAGAACAGTGTAGAAGAATCTGTTTCTAAGTTGTCTGAAGGCCAGAGTCTTACATTGTCTAAACTGGCTGTGTTTTCAATGTTGCAGTGCAAAGACCTGAGCTGGCCTTCTAGCTGCGGGGAAAATCCTCGTATCTATGTCAAGGGAATTCTCACACTGCCCAAACCTGTGCAGTTCAAATCTTCTGCCAAGGAAGGGTGCAATGTAAGTAGAGGCAGGGAAAACACCAAGAAATCTTTTTCTCCAAAAAAGTAAAACTCAAATGTAAATGGATTTTCAAAATGGATGAAACATCCACTCCTGTGCCATATTTGCTGTGATAGCTGCCCAGGTTTGGGTTACTGGGGTTTTTTATTTTTATTTTTTTCCAACTTCCCAAAATCTTGTTAAAAGCCTTGTTCCACTTCCTCCTGTTATATCCTCCCTTGCATTGTACTGTTGCCTTCCTTTTCTCCCAAGTCTGCAGGACAGATATGCTCATAGGGGACTCAACCATGAGCTGCTGGCCTTGGCAACTCAATGGTGGGGGACTGGAGGAAGCATGGGCGTACCCGTAGGTGCTCATTCACCCCAGGGAAGGTGGATTATGTTACTGCCTCTCCCTAGGGCAGGAGACAAAGTTCATGGTTCCTCTCTACAGAAAGTAGTAAAAATTGGTCGTACAAGACAAAGTTCCTGATAGTGGCAATAAAGAAATATTAAAGGGGTAAAGCGACATAAACCTGCCATCATGTGAATCAAAGGTGAAAGAAAATAAATGAGCAGGAGAGACTGAAGCCACAGGAGAATTTGCTATGACAATGTGTGTACACTGTTTTAATGCTCCAGAAGAGATGGCCTCAACTCATGAAAACAATCCAGAGCTTTGTCCCTGCCAGGATGTGACAATGAGGTGGTGAGTCTGTGGGGGTTTACCACTGGAAAGGCACACTTTTCCACGGCAACCTAAAATGGCATCCGGGAGCAGTGGCTATAGGACCAGGAAGCCTTGGTTTCTCGGTTTTGAGCTTGGTATGACTCTCTTACAATGGTGATGTTACCCCTCTGTTTTTCTTTCTAGGACATTGAATTTATGGAAACTTTTGTATTTGCTATTAAACTGCAAAGTCTGCAGGCTGTCAGATTGGTATTTAAAATCCAGACACAGACTCCCAGGAAAAAAACAATTGGAGAGTGCTCCTTGGCACTGCGGGAGCTCAGCTCGGAGGAGTCAAGTCATTGGCTGGATATATCTCCTCCTTCCAAAGCACCTGTAAGTGCCAATAATGCAAAAGTATGTTATATCACCTAGAAAAATTTGCTGGAAATGAAAGTAAACTAATTCAGTAGTAATTCAATGTTAACAACAAAAAGGGGTTTTCTTTTTTTTTTTTTTCCCCCACTTGGTTGAGGAAGAGGCGTTTTGATGGGGAAGCAATGCAGACTTTTGAACTCTGCACATAGCTGTTCTAGTCATAAACTCAGCCGTTTCTGGGAAAAGAGCGAGAGCAAGCTCTTCCACACCATGGCCCACAGCTTGAGGGAGGGTCATTCTGGGGAAACATTCAGCAAAATACACCAGGTAATTGCCTTTTCTGACCAAAAAAGCATCAGAAGATGGTTAGGACTCACAGCAAGAGCCCAGAGCAAATGGAATTTGCTTTTGTTATGGAAGAAAAGTGCTAAGATCTTCAGTGGCTTGAAACGGCAGAGATGGCTATATATTTAATGTTCAGATTGCACACTGTGAAGTAATAATTCAGACAGTTCATTTCCATTAGCATAATAAGAAGCAGGTGGTTTTCACAGTGGGATTTCCTTCCCCCCTGCCCTCACTCTGTTTGTTTCTTTTACAGATTGTGTCTAGACATTTCTATTTTCAACAAATTAAACTTGAATTAGCAATTCAAAAGCAAATTTTATCTAATTGTGTCTGAGCAATATGAGTGATACTCTTGATTTCTAACACAAGTTACACTTGACATTTTTTAGTTCTAACAAGAATAATCACGTTGCTTCAAAAGCATAAGATTAAGTGAGAGAGGAAGCTGTTTTAGAAACTGCTTCATCCCAATGTAAATTCCTGAATCATTTCATAGTTTCTCTCTCTGTGTTGGCTTTCCTCACCATTATATCCAAGAGCCCTCCAGACACTGCTGGAATTCATCCCTGTACTACCCTCTGAGGGAGCAAACTACCCTTACTTGCCAGTAGAGAGCCAAATCTCAGAGTTGAGTAAGTAGCTTACTCTCGAGGTTACACAGAAATTTTGTGGCTGAGCTGCAAAGAGAATTTGGGTCTCTTCGATGAACTGGAGCCTGACTTCTCTTTATCTGACCTGTTGCTCTCTCGCTTGGTCCATTTTTCTTCACTGAAGTGCATTAAAACTTGAAGGGAACCAGGACTAGCAAAGTTCTTTTAAATGGAGGCTGTCAGGAAAGCTGGGTCTCTACTGGCCTTCTCCTGCTGTTCTTACAGTGTTCAGAGTACATTAGCATCTGACAGGAGGGTAATGAGGATGCATCAACACAACTTTGCCATTAGCAACAATTCTAATTAAAATTCAGACTGGAGAACTCAATACATTCAGAGTGTGTATATGTGTGTAGGCATGGTAAAACACAAGTACTTCCATAACAGAGGAAACTGCACAGCATGCAGTCACCCTAAACATTCATGACATTAAGTGATGGGGCCTTATATCTATGGAAAGCATTGCTCATATCTCCATATTGCAAAATTCAAAAGTGCGGGAGGAGAACTGCGAAGGTTTTTGTGTTAGTGGAGCACAGCTGGTCTCTCACTTCCATGCCCAGGTTTAGTAGAGCTGCAACTGCATGTCTGGTTTTCCCTGTATGTGTCTGCTCTTAACACTGAGGAGTCTTTTTCCAGGTGAAAACCGAGGCCTCGTTTGTTTGTCCAGTATCTCTGGCTGCAGCCCACGGGGGCCATATGTGCGCTGCACATAAGCAGTCCATCAGTGGAGCACAGGTACTGCAGCTATAGCAACTGCAGGATGCGCTTACTTACTGTGTATCTGCAGGTTGTGTATGCAACACATGCTTATATTTCTGTCCAGGAAATCCCGGATAGAAATGTGGGAGCCCAACATATGACAGAATTCCTGTGTTTCCTGAGTTTATAAGCAACTTAATCCAGATGTTATGGCAACATTCTTCTGCTTGTAGGTGTGCCGCGCAGAACTTCAAGTAGGAACTTGTTTTCAAGCAATAAACAGGAGGATTCAGTTACAGATTCTTGAAGCACAAAACCTTCCAGTTTCATCTACACCGCTGTCTTCAAGTAAGTTACATCAGCTGTCTCATGCCTCCTGTCTAAAAGCATTTGTAACAGGTAAATTGCTGCTCAAATGGGTTGGCAATTCATAACATTCCTTACAAAGCTCAGACTAACATATTGTGGAGTAGATTTCCATTGCCAAGGCTTGTTTCCACAGATGTCTTACTTGATTACTTTTTGTTTGGTTTGAAGCTACGTGTTTATGTATTTGGAAGATTTTTATCCCAGTATTAATCCTGACATACAAGAGCATTAGCTTGCACTTGCTGTTTGGATACTGTGTTAATCAATTCAATATTATTGAACATACTCTGTTTGTGTGACTAGTCAGGAAAGCTATTGTACAGTTCTTTTGGCCAGACGTTTGGGAAATTGTTGCAATTTGAACCATACATGTGGATCTTGTCAGTTCCTTATTGGGTGTGTTTTTGAGTAACTCTTTGTGTGCTATGGCTTTTTCCCTCCCTTTTGTGCTAGATTTCTTTGTGAAAGTTGGAATGTTTAGTACAGAAGGGCTGATGTATAAGAAGAAGACTCGTCTTCTGAAGTCCACTAATGGCCAAGTGAAGTGGGGAGAAATGATGATTTTTCCAGTTAGCCAAGGTGAACAAGGAATTAGCTTCCTCATCAAGCTCTACAGCAGAAGCTCAGTGAGAAGAAAACACTTCCTAGGACAGGTTGGTTTCTGCTGACTAACATGATATCCTTTAAATCCAGTTCTTCAGGTTTCTTGGTATGGGTTCTAAAATACTTTAAATAAGGTGGCATATGGCAAAATAGTAAATTCTTATAAACTTATAAACCAAGAAAGAATAGTACTGGGGTCTTAAACATGCACTAATACCAGCATGGGAGTTGACATTTGATTTTGCTTTTAAAAATAAGTCCGTAAGTAATTTTTGTGTGTATTACTGTGCAAAAGATGCCTTGCTACAGACAGACATATGATCTGCTCCTTGCCTCTAGGCTTTCTGAAGAAAACAAACAGCACTCACAGGAGCTCCACATCCTACAATGTACTGTACAGAAAGGGGTGTGTTGGCTTATACCAATAAACTTACAAGCAGGTGTGTGTAAAAGGAGGTATCAACAGCTACAATATCAGACTACCTTCCTGGGTAAAGCAATGCTGAAATCAGCACAATATTCTAAATGTGCATTATCACGTAATATATCATTATCACAGGTGAACAAACACAAAACTATTTTGTAGTTGAGTGCTATTTTTTCTTTCTTTTTTTTTGTTTACAGCTGGAACTTCTGTAGTATCTCTTTGAAATCATTTGGGTGATCATATTTATTTAACCACTGTAAAAGTTGGTAGTCTGGTATCTTTTTATTCTTGCTGTCCTCTTCCCCTGGTTGTTCTAATTTACCATGATCCTGTCCCTTCTTTCTCTCCTTTTCTTCATGGTACAGTGAGCTGTAGCTGTTCTTAATGCTCGGAGCTTTCCCTGACCCAGCAGGGTTAGTAGCAGAATTTTAATATCTGCATAAATGAATAACGTCGAATTGATTTTGAGACCCCAACTGCAATGTCCCTTGTCAGATGAAAGACTGCGCTGTCCTTAGGTACAGAAAGTGTTACTGTCCCATTCTGGTGATGAGTTTCTTGTGCCTGCTGAAGACGTGCAGTTATAGAAGATGCTGATGTGCTATAGAAATTATGTACCAGCAAGAGTTACGTGGCCTTCCTCCATTTTATGGAGCCTCATGTCACACGTATTCCACCTTTCTGTGATTTCTGTTGGTAGAATTGGATTTGGAATAGGAAAAGAAAGAAGATTGTTCTTTTAGTTGTGCTACCTTGGGGCAAAAATAACTGGGTATGATTTTGCAGTCAGCAATATGTGAGGTCATCTCAATCTGATGAGTTTCATTTAATTATGAATCTTATTTTTAGGGGGAGGAAATGAGCTACTTCTGCTCCTCAGAGGTTATTTGGAAAAGGTTGTTTCAGCTCATGCAGGCAGACATTGCCACATAACACATGAAGACATAAAATATGGCTCAGGCAAGAATGTACTTTGAGCAATTGGCTGGGTAGCTGGAAAAAGATGAATATAGCTGGATCTATTAACTTTGTTCTTCAGAGAATGATGTTTAATTGGATGCTGTTCTAAGCAGACAATACTTAGATTAGGCTGCTTTTACAGGCATGTCTTTAATCATGAGCAAGATGTATATTGAATCTCTGGGGATGAAACATCAGCTGTCTGTGGATTTCTGGAAGACATTATTCTCACTTCTTGAGGATTCATGCCTCAGCAGAGTAGGCTAAATGTACTTCATGGTGAAGGTTTCTGAGAAGTCTTAAAAGGACTCATTCCTGGAAGACTTGAGGAAATAGAGTCCCGTAAATAATGATACCTATTTATATAAGCAGAATTCTTTTGGCAATGGAAGCTAGTAATAATGTTCAGGAGGAAAACTTCCTACTTGTACCTCATTTCCTCGTTTAATGACCACTATCCGTTAATTGAATATTGAGAAGAAATGGATTCTTAGTGCATGACTATGTGTGGTATGGGCATGTTAGTAACTTCTGTGGAATGCAGGTTTGGGTCTGTCTGTCAGAGTGTGCAATTTTAAATGCTCATGAAAATGCTGGACAGCTAGCTCGGGATGCCAGATGGCTTGCAGCCAACCGAATGCATAGAGCCATCACTGGCCCTCTTGAGCCCTTGACCCCCAGCACATGCATTTGAATGGAACAAGGAATGCTTGACTTAAACCATCTTATTAAGTAGATAGTAGTGAGTTCTCTAAACTATTTATTTCAAGGCTAAATTTAAACCCAGACTCACTGTGTTCCCAGCTGAAAGCCAAAATATGTTAGTCCCAACGGAACTGTATTTGCTGCTACAATGCTTTGGTCGCAGTCTACACATTGTATCTCATTCTACACTTCCATGGTATTTATTTGGAACTAATAAAGTCTGGGCCCCTGTGTTGTATCAAGTAAACTCAAATTTTATTTTTCTTTCTGTTTCTTACTGCAGATCTGGATAAGTTCTGATAGCAGTAACAGTGAAGCAGTAGAGCAGTGGAAAGATACTATTGCCAACCCTGAGAAAGTTGTTCTTAAATGGTACAGCATTGGTCCATCTTGAAGACTGGAGATGAAACTCAGGACTGATTTTTCTACAAAGATACTCCTATGCTGTTTAAAATAGACAATATTTTTGCTTTTTATTTATACTACCCAAGTTCTTCAGAAGGTCTCCACTACATCACGCCTCCATGGTAACTCGGAAAATTCAGAGTTTCACAAATAGAAATACTGGCTAAATATTATTAAGAGGATGACTTAGGAACTGGGGAAAGTGCTGATTTGATTTTTAAAAATCCACCTTGGAAAAATATATTTTTGCCCCTTTCAGGCTCCATAAGAGCACAGAAATCCCATCTTGGAGAGAAGCAGCTCGAATCAGCATCTTCTTCACTAGTCACTGATGTCATCATTCTCTGCAGTCTTGACTTTGTCAGACCCCAAAGTCCATGGGAATCATTCTAGTCAGTGGCTTGGTCCTAGGTACCTCTGCGCCTCTGGGGTTGCAGCCGTGTTGACAGCACTTGATCAGAGTAACATCTGCCTCAGCAGGTGGGAAAGCTGTGGCTGTAGGAGGAGGCATGAAGGGAACTACACAATAAGGCAGTGCCCAAAGGCTTTTCCAATCTCCATCTTTGATGAAGGGTTGTTCAGTACCCTGACATGCCAGTAGCTTGGGTTTTACCCCATCCTTCTCTTTAAACAGAGAGATTGAAAGATAAGAGTTTCTCTGACAACCTGTGATCTTTGCAAGTGGGGCCCTCCAGACGTGCTCTGTTTGGGTGAATTCTGGTTGGAATTAATGGAATAATACAAAGAGGCAACGGCCCTGCCTAGGATGGGGACCAATATTTTTAGATAAATTACTTTCTTATATAGAATTCTTACATGTAAACCACTTCCTATTTAATCAACAATGTTCTAGCATTTGCTTACATTACTAAAAGCCAGACTAACATGTACGAAGGAGTAAGCAAATATTTACTGACATAAGTGCTTTTTAATTAAAATGCAGTACAGTAAGGGACTCAGACTTTTGTTTAAAAGATGGACTACTGCTGCAGAAGTATTTGTTACATGTCTAGGATGCTGAAAAATTATGTGTGGGAGTATATTTTTGCTACTTGTGTCTAGCAAGAAGAAACTAGCATATTTTTATTGCAAATTATATTTTCCTACAAAATCCTAAGATTATTTTTTCTATTATTCCCCATATTTTCAGGGGTTTATTCATAGTTATTTTTAAAGCAGGGAAAATGCCATGCATATAATTGATAATATATACATCTAAAAGCACAGACCTCTTTGCACTACTCTAGCTACTGGATTTAAAAAATACATATATTCCATTAAATCCACTGCTTACACATTCACTGTTGGCTCTTTGGACTGTACAAATATGTATGTTCATATAGACGCTGAATAACTGTGTTTCTTTTATAACTTGGATCCTGTTCAAACATCTGACATGAACTAGAGTGGCAGTGAGAGCACTCACTGCAGGAAGGCAAAGGAACAGTGGGGAGCAGAGAAAACACTGTAGCAGGACAGCACGTCATATCTAAGCACAGAGCTCGGAGCATCTTTATTTTAACTTGGACTTTCAGTAAGAGTCAAGAAAAAACAGAATCTCTTAGGGTTTTTTTTTTTATCAGCTGATAATTGAAGCTTTTAAAACTTCAACGGTTGTTGAAATTTAATATTTTGAAAATGAGCAAACAAAAGGATCTTCCTGGGCTCTTATATGTTCTGCTTTTTGACTGTTTTTTATAAATGAACTGACAAAGTTTTTGTGTGTTACTCAGAGAACAAACATCAGTTCTAGCTCTTACTGACACTCTTTGCAAAGCTCCCAGTAGGCCCCAAAGATCTTGACTGACAGCATTAACTTCCAGCCAGTTACAACTCTTGGGGTGAGCCTGGCCTGTTGGGTAGAATGAAAAAAGGAACTGGACCAAGCTGATATTCTTGGAGTAACTTTACTTGAATACATGGATCTTTTTTATTCATTGTGGCTGAACTGCAAAAGTGCAAACTAACTGTTTCCTTATGCAGAATGCTGCTCTGTTTGAAGAGACGATAGGGAATACCCCAGTGTTTTGGAGGCTTCAGTTACTGCCAAAGTGGCAGTGCCAACTCAGTGGATATTGTGTAAAATGGACTTTTGGGGCTGTTTTAGGACACCTAGCCTTTTAAAGGCCTAACTAGTAATGTCTCCTTTTTCCTATGTTAATATTTAATCTATGTGTTTATAATAAAAGTTATGAACAAAAAATATTCCATCTTTTTTTTTCCCAATTATTTATAACAATGTTTACCAGCATCTCAAACTGAAGTTTAAGTCCTACCTTTTTCTCTGAGAAACTGCCAACTAAGGAACTGTATTTCATGTAGTGTTGCATGTAGGGGAGTTGACTGCTGACACATTGAGGAGATACATAAGGCCTCTCTTTGCAAGGTGCGCACAGGTGCTAAAGCACTCTGAAGAACATACTCTGAGGCACTGTTCCATCCTGTGTTCGTTCCCAGGCTTTGGGGTTTTCTGCATTTGTGTGTGCATTCATGTAAGAATTTAATGAATTCTTAATAGTTGGCTAAAGACACTGCTTTTTTTTTCCTATGAAATTGGAGCAGTTAAGTTGCTTGTTGCCCAGATTTGTTCCTCAGTTTGTCCAGAGCACTACAGTGTTCTTGAGGAAACTGATTGTATTTCAGGTTTAGAAAGCAGAAAGTCCTTTATTTGTCCCACCACACCAAATTTGGTTCTGCTTGTTCCTAGTCTCGGCTGACTTGATGCACGCTCCATTACTGAGAGCACGGCAACGGAGCATTGGGATGTCCATCTCTGTGTGCACTCCAGCCTTCTTGTACATAGCGAGGTAGAGAGGGAAACAGGCAATACTCATCTGCAGTAAGATGATGAGGAAGAGAAACTTATGTTGCACTGTTTGGGCTTCTTTTTAATTATTTCTTAAACTGCTGTGTCCTACTTGTGTCCTAATTACTGGCTCCCTAGATCCTGGGAGGAAACTAGGAATCCTTTTTGCATTCATTACTGAGGGAAATCATCTAGGGCTGGAGAAGGACCTGTCCAGCTCAAGAACCAAACAGTGCCCATTCATCGCATCAGCATTTACCTTTGCAAGTAGACCAAAGCTGTGCTTCAAACAACCCATCATCACCTGAAATTATAGTCCAGTCCTCCTAATAATGCCTGCTTTGGTGCTTCTGAGGATGCCTGCCAAATAAAGGAGTTTGTCCAGAGGATTGCTTACAGTGGGTTGGAAAATGAAACTGTTTTGAAGGATGGGGGCTGCCAGCAAGTTAATTCTGTGATGTTATCTATGTAAGAGATGTTGCAGAGGACATATGGGAATGGAGAATGGCTGGAAAGAAAAGTCTTTGTAGTTCTTTTTTTCCATGTGCACATTGAGAAGACACTGGGGTGCATACTCACTCACTGCATACACACAGCTCTTGAACAGAATTGTGAAAGATGGAAGATAATTTGTGGTGTAGTAGAATCAACCAGTTAAACAAACTTACTAGCTGTCACATAAAGCATTTTGCATTGGTTCATTGGATCTAGAGCTTATCAGTATGTTATGTTAGGCAACAGTCCTGAAGAAAACCATGAGACAAGGGGATACATGCACATTCCTAGAACCAGTCCCAGGGTACAAGTGGCTTTAAAACGGGGTGTTCCAGCAGGTGTTATTTGAATTTGAATGTCTTAAAAGGCCAGCTAGAAATCACCCCAGATGTCTTGCCTTCTAAGTGCAGAATATTTTGCTTTACTGCTTAGTGACTGCCTCACTACAAATGCATGTGAGACTGGCTCCTCCAAATTCCAGTCCTGGCTTATTTGAGACTAAGGCAGTCTTCCAGAAAAGGAAAATGATGCATCATTTGAAGACCAATCCATGACATAAATTAGCAAGGAACTTTATGTACTCCAGGATACATGCAAGAAGAAGGAAAAAAGGTGTCTCGGAGCACTCTTCTAATGGTGACAGCTGTATGTTGTCCCTTTAATGCACGCTTAGCCACTATTTTGGTTGTTACATCCAAGTTTACTGTCATTGAAAATACTGTTATGAAAGCTGTTCTGTCAGTTCATTTAATTTGCAGATATAAGGCACACTGGGTTTACAGTTGGAATTGCTGTTGCTTGTAGTTAGTGACTCACTCAGCTTCTTGCAACAATTTTGATGAAAGCAGCAAAGTTTCAGCAGCTGCACCAGTTTTATTTCAGTCAACTTCATGTAGGATGTAGATGAACTGGCACAACAGTTATGATCTTACATTTAATGTTATTCATACAGAAATCTCTGCCTGCTTAGTTACAAGCCAACCATAGACTAAACTTAATCAGATTTTCCAGAATGTGTGTATATAATTTCATTGGCTAATCAAACAATTCTGGTGTATTTATTTATGACTAATAGCATTCTGTACGTAAACGAGGCCAACAATTTTGACTCAATTTTTTGAGTCTTTACATCTCAATGGCATGGCATGGCATTCCTTTTAAGGAAAAAAATGTAAGATTCTACCTCAAAAGATGAGTGGGCGTTAACAGTTTGTAAACCACATTATCATAAAACATTACTTGGAAAATAATTGTATTTGAGTATCCGATCTTCTGTGATCACAACGTAAGTAGTGCCATATTGCTAAATCATTAGACATCCCTCGTTTGTTCTTTTGTTGGCAGGACATTTGTATAAAACAAAAGGTAATTTTGTAAGCATTCGATTAAGCACATATGCTGTTTGACTTGAAAACTGTCTGCCCAATGGAGGTTGCTTTTTGAATTATGAGTTGATTTTGCAGCCAAAGCATAAGGTTGTCTAGAAATTGGGGGCAGAGTTGTCCCACTTCTTACTTTCGTCCTGCCAACATGTATGACATGGGAGGGAGGCTGCATAGTTGTGGAAAGCTTGGCATAAATTATGCTGGACATGATCTACACTCCTTGTTTTTCCAGCTTCTGCTGTAAATTACATCACCATGTAAATACAGCCCTGTACATGATCTCATGCTTGGTGCATGGAAAAAGCCATCACTAAAATCAGCACCATGTTCCACAAACACTGCTCCAGCAGATTTACATTCTTTTC